GAACAGTTAATCAATTCGTTGCCATTAATTGAGAATCGATTGAATAAATCACTGAACGAATAGTTTGTAAACATTTGCGACAAATAATTGTCATAAAAATGATTGAAGTAATAATTTTCAATAAAAGACGGATTTTTGCAAACATACGGGTAATCATCTAAATGTTCATTTTTATTGCAAATTTTTTCTCTATATATGTTACTTAAATTTTTACTCTTTTCTTTCCACTTCTCGTATTCATTGCTTAAACCCAATTCATTATTAATCCTTGTTTTGTCAAAAAACACATCCCTTTCCGTACAGATAGTAATCGCAGGTAATTGTAAACCAGTGCTCGGCTTAACGTTAACGCTATAGACATTGGGATAACTGAAGTAAACCGTTGTTAACTCTATGGCCCCATAGGATAGCACACAAAAGCTCAATATTTTTGCTATTAGTTTTAGAATTGAAATAAACGTAATGTCATTATTAATGATTATTAAATGAATAAATTCTATTAATTGCTGTATTTTTATTTTAATACTAAAACATATAAATATAGAGAATTCAATTATTATGTGGAATATGTAGATATTTTCGGATTTAAATGTTTGAACAAGATTATACATTTGTTGATAATTCATTTTTAAGTATATTAATCTTAATCTATGTAACGTTTAATCTATGAATCATAATTCATAAAGAAACATTGTTTCTCCTATGTTATCAGCAATAGTTGCCATGGTTAATGATACTGTTAAACCATTATTATATATTATGTATCTTACAGTACAAAGCACCTTTTGTATAAAAATATCATTTGAATAATTAATTTTATTATTGTTAACATAAAATGAAATATTGTATCAATATATAAAAAATATATAAAGTGGATCATTAATAATGTTTTAATTAAAGCCAAACATTAAATTTATAATAAATAATGCATAAGAGGAAACTATAATATTTTTCAAAATAGATCAAATCCTGAGAGATACATGCTGGAATGATAGAAACTACTGTATATACTTATCGCTAAAAATTAAATATAAGTCTTATAATACATAATATAAAATTATAAATTTAAAATTGCTAAAATTGCTAAAATTATAAAACAATTGTATTATTATAATACTATTATATAAATATATGTCACTCATATAACATAGATTATTCTAAAAATTAATAATTTGTAATAGTAAAACATTAATAAAAATTAGTTGCATATGAAAATTTGTATTACTTAATCACCAAGTCCAGTAATCTGACCAATGAACTCTAAAATAAATAAAATTTTAAAATTAAATTAGATAAATCATGTTTATTTTAAACATAAAGTAACATTATATTTACTATCCACAGTAAGTTCATGTTTAATAAACTTAAAAACATGGGTTATTGTTAAAATTTATTAATCATAACTCAAATCACATCTAAGACTAACCATTAAAGTGGACACTACCGGAGCCGTCTCTGTCCAACTGGTCGACCAATACATCCAACTCATCGGCGGTCAACTCTACATCCATTGCACGTAAAATCTCTTTCATATCCGCGTCGCTAATCATACCGTCTGAGTCCGTGTTGTACGTATCAAACGCTTGGCGCAAATCCTGTGCCACAACATCAGGGCCCTCCTCTATAAGGAACCGCTCGGCCAACGCCAGGAACTCGTCGAACTGTATGCGTTGGTCACCGTTGGTGTCCGCGTTAGCGACGATAAACTGTAGATCTTTACCCGTGGCAACCCTCATGATTCTTACCATATACTCTACAGTATCGTAAGGTAGGTAACTTTTATGTGCCGGATCGAACGTATCGAATGTATGCCGGATTACTTGTACCTGTTCTGTGGTTAGATCTAGGTGATGGTGGAGGAGGGGTGGGAGTAAAACAAAATTACATAGATTTTTTAATACATTTTTTGTACATTGCTGATGGATATAATTTATCTGACCTGTGTCACGCGTTCGGATCATTCCACCTTGATTCATTATAAATATTAATTACAAAAACAAGTTGTAATAAAATAGTGACACAATATATACCCCTATTTCTCGTATGAACGGAATTACAAGTGGTCATCCCTACCAATACGAACAATGACAAACTGGTCACATTTAATACTGAAATTAATTGCATTTTTGTAGTTAATTATTTTAATTTTACACCTGACAAGATATATTTAGAGATTTAAAATTGTTTAATGTTAATATTGTTTTAAGCCATTTCAATTTAATATAATTCATTGTAAGTTGCAACATATGTGACAACATGATAGTTTCAATTGTAATGTCATACAATTATTATTTCGAGCTAGATCGTATTATTTAATGATTGATAAATTTAGACAATCACATTTATCTGTTTTTGAACGTTCCATATAATTTTTAATATACAATTACATGAGTTAGCATTAATTATTAAATAAGATAAATTAACACAATGTTTATCATGATACTTACCTAAACTAACAGATAATAGTGGCACTTTTCTACCACCAGATCATTTTGTCGTGTTTTTTGTGACTCTTATACTGTAGAAGGCTAAATAGGCTTTGGTTGTATTAAAGTTACATTTTTATCATGATAGATTAAAATGAAGTGTTAGGCTTCATTGATTTTTAATTAACAATTAACAGTAATTCTTATTATTGTATTAATTATACAACACCAAAAACAAACTTGTTGAAAAATCGCAAGTTACTTATATAAGTTTGTACATGTATTAAGGTACATACACTAAACACACATTATTATACCGATATAATGCTGGCCAATTAAAACTCGAATCAAATCTATATACTAGATTAAAATTGACATAATAAATACATTAACTATTCACAGCTTAGTTATCATGAACAATTAATTAGGTAATAATTATTAAATTGATAATATCAATTACTTTTCCAATTGGATTTATTGTATAAAATAGATTGGTCGTATCATCTCTATAAGGAATCTATAATAATCTAGATTAATATCAGTCTGAGTTTTAATAGGTATTTATTTATATAATTTATAACAATAGTTCAACACTTATTATATTTACAGGTTCTTAATCTAAATCCTGTATTTCAAAATAATTAATGATAAAAATTAAAAACTGTATTATACTGTATAGACAATTTATACTGTACAATACAATTTAAACAAGATTAAAATATACTTAAAAATTGTATATAAACAAATGAATTAAAGTTAATTAATTAAGTCATTAATACTGCATTTTAAAAAATTCTATCATTCTATCAATATTAACAAAATTAACTAAATTGTGTAAAATGGGCAAGTTAAATATTTTTAAAACATGTTAATAAAATGAAATACTAATGACAATTATCACAACTAATTAAATTTGTCTCAGTTTATAAACAAGAATGGTTAAAAGCAATTATATTAATCGCACTCATGATGGGTATATCGAGTTATACCGTTGATAAATATGAACATGTTTGCCCAACACCTGACAAACTTAGCCCATGTACATGTTACTATATAACCCCTGTTGACAGCCCAACACTCCAAGACTACGCCGCTATAAACTGCACAGGTGCAATTACCGAGAACGTGGTACAATTATTTGCCAAACTGGGCGAGTCGCTAAAAAATCATACCAAGTACATTGAGCTAACATTAAACGCGAGCACCGTGGTGGAAATACCAGCCAACGCGTTTGGCCCGTTTCAATTTGACTCAATCGATATACATGGATGGGGTAAACTACGGGCGATTCACCGCGATGCTTTTAACGGTACCCAGGTCACATCTTTTATGATACTCGACTCGCTTATTGGCGAAGAAATTTTTACCTTAATCAAAACAATTCCTGAGTTAGACTATGTAAACATTCAACGCTCTAAATTGACCAAGGTGCCTACCGGCGCGTTCCACTCGCATCCGGCGTTAAAGTCAATAAACCTGTCCAACAATCCCATAGTCAGTGTTGAACGTGGTGCTTTTGTCGACATGCCCAAACTAGTTTACATTGAACTTTACAGCAATCAACTAGATCAAATAGCCAGCGGTGCTTTTAATCTCGGTCACGGAAATTATATGCAGTTGAGCCTAGAGGGCAATAATTTGAGCAAGGTGGTCTTAAAGCCGGAGTGGTTTGACTTTACCGGCGAGCATGTTCAATTGTATTTGCAAAGGAATGGCTTTAAATACATAGATGAGTCGGTGTTTGGCAAGTTTCTATTAGGTAGACCAGAGCGCATGATCTACTCAGACACCGAGTGCCATAATCCGGGTAATGATTGGTTACGGGAAAAGTATCCTGATAATTGGTATGATGAAAATTGTCATAAAAATAATTAACTTAATAATTATAAACTAAACTTGTAATTGTAATAATAATAAAAATTTATGTTTTTTCATTTTAAATCATTATATTGTAAATTACAATTACTCAACATTGTTCTAAAAATTAATTTACATTAATTAAATATTTTATTTTAAAGCTAATACTGTATTATATTTGACAATAACATGATCATTATGATTATGTTATTATACTTAATGTAATTATTACAGATTTTAAACTTTAAAAATTATATACGTTGTTTGCAGTTATACAAGTTATAATGCTTTTTAATAAAAATATTAGATAATTATATCAATCTAAACATGTTGATACAAAAACTGGACCAGTTAAGCATTATCATTACCAATGGGCAAACATTATTAGCATATGGTATATAAAGTAATTAAACAACTATAATTAAAAATATATATTTACAAAATATGTTTATACCGCCATTAACAACTATTAATTCAGCATAAAAATAAAACCACATAATTGTAAACTATTTACTAAACACAAAATGAGCAAGTTGATGATGGCAACGATAATCACCATGTTTATGCTCACCATGGTAAATGCCACTTATTATGACTCACCTGACTATTACGACTCGCCCGAGCACTACGATCCACCAAATTATCACCTGGCTAATTATGGCAGTTCTAATGGCAAGAGCAAACCCAAGCATATATTTACCAAGTTTAGAGGGCGACCATGCGCAACCAGTTCCCAATGTCTACCCCGTGAACTATGCGCTGGCGATTGGGGCGAAAGGTGGTGCGTGCCCGAGTGGTACCGTGATGCTTCCCAATAAATGTGCCTGGTACTAGTCCCTGGCGGCTTAATTTTTATTCATAGTTATTATTAAAATGTAGTTTTTTATTAGCATGTTTCTTATTTTTTAAAGCAACTGTGTTTAAATTATTATGTATTTCAATGAATAAAGTAATTATTGCCTTGTTACAATATGGGTTAAATATTTATTTGTAATAATTTAATAAATTTTTAATTTAACATATTTTACATCACAAATTATTTTCAAAAACATCTTGATGAGATTGACATTAAAATTTTGTTATAACTATATTCTGTTAAATAATTATTTCAACTTCCTTGTCACTAAAATAAACATTTGATAGATTTATTGTATATTTTAATGTAATAGTAAGTTTAAATTTGTTCATGCAGACTAAAATAAAAGTATTTTGACTAAACATGGTAAAACACATGTTAATCAAGGTATCTCATAGTTTAGACATGGTTAACAAAATTAATTTAATATAGCTTGTATACTTTTTCTAATCAATGTGATATAATTATAAGTGTTGTTTAACTTTACCACATTCTTTGGTTGGCATAGCTATTATAATAATCAAATTAAAATAAACACATTGCACACAATTATATACGGGATTATAAAATAACAATGCAAACTTTAATGTACATTGTTATAAAATTAAAAATTTAAAACACAGACTCTTACACAGTCAACCACTGATTATCAGTTAACCATGGATCTTTGAGTCCCCTCTTTTCATAGTACCTAGATCGAAACTTTGCCAACCAATTATAAGACCATTGGGACCACACCATAGGCCTGCCTCGGGTCACACCCAACACCGAGCTTATGATCTCCAGGTAAGTAATCTGCAGTCGATGGGCGTAGTGGCCATGGGTTCGGGCCTTAATGCCTACGGTGGCCAGCATTGCGCGCACCGATTCGTCGGCAGTCGGGCACACAAACGACGGCTTTAGTGATGACATTTTGGTGGCCACAAAGCCAAACACCGCCGACTGTATGGTCAGCCCCGGAGTGTCTCTATACTCGATCTCCAACGCCCGGGACAGGTAGTCGACGTAGGCTTTGGTGGCCGAGTATACGGCCAGCAACGGGACGGGACAGTCAGCTGTAATACTACTAACGTTGATGACAATACCGCGCCGGGCGGTAACCATACGGGGCAGGCATATGGCCAGCATGCGAGTGACGGCCAGTACGTTGCAGTTCACTATTTGGTCTATGAATGGCTCTAGGTCGTCGATCATGTGGAAGTATTCGTATCGTTTGTAGGACATGCCCACGTTGTTTACGAGTACATCGATGTTGGTTAGGGTGGCCAACGTTTCGCGGATCCGCTCGTAAATGTCCGGACGCGTAAAATCTACGCAAAGTGTTTTGACTTCGGCGCATGCGCGATTCGCCGACAGTAAATCTGAGCGCACTCGTTGTAGTTTCTCGTCGTTGCGGGATATTATGAGCAAACTGTACCCCATTTCGGCCAAGTTGTGGGCGTATGACAACCCTATCCCGTCGGTAGCTGTATATAAAGTAACATAGTATGTGAGTGAGTGATTTAACAAGGTGATTAACAAACCTCCCGTAATAATAGCCCAGTTATCGGGCGATGGTTTCCACACAACACCCAAACCCATACGTTTGGCCACACATTCCTGGAACACCTCTTTCGACAGTCTATACAAGATATAGACCACAAAAGCCAATACAAACGCCTTTCCCATCCATTCCCACACCGATGTCGTCACCGACACAATCGACTGGTGGCTGTCCAGCGCCGGCACAGTCAGCGCTGGTATGGCATGGGTTTGGTTTATATACATGTGTAGTGTTTAGAACTATGGGATAGAAAGGGCTGAATAGTAACTCATAGGCGCTGTTATATACCCGGTGTGACACTTGTCTAGATTAAAGTTCTTATTGGTTATGGCTATGGTTTAAAACACTGTCACACATTGAAAATGAATGAATGTTGAATGTCATTATGTATAAAAATGATGTGTATCTTGTTCTACCTTGATTACTATAATTAGAGATTTAATATAATTGTTTAAACATTTAAATTGTTTATATAAATTATAACACATGTGGTGATAATTTTACACATTTTACATCTACTTAACAGAATACTCTAACATGATAAATTATCACTAGTTGTTTTTGCTGTGAACATTAACTCAAGATTTTTGTATTATAATGAGCTAGGTGAAAAATATTTTGTTAACATTTAAAACTTAATGTTCTTGCACATAAAATTTATTAAAATAAAGTTACTGTTGGTGAACTAGAAATAATCATGCAATTTTTTAATTGTGAAAGCTAATAAATTCCATGTTATTTTCAAAATTTATTAAATTTTATTTGAGATATAACAAAATCAATAATTTGACAATGCATTGTATATTTGCCAATGTATCTGGATATATTAGTTTCCATTTAGAAATTCTATATTTTTAAGTACAAATGGTAAACTAATTTTACATATCATAACCAGGGTCATTTTCTGGTGCAAGTTCTCTGCCCTGTCGGTGTAATGTTGTTGACTAAACCATATTCTTTAGTTAACATAGTTATAATTATAATTAATATAATTATACTAATCAAATTAAAACAAACAATATACACTTAAATTTTTAAATAAATACAAATTGTTAAAGCAATATACGCTAACTTATATTACCATAAATAATTACACAAATAATAAAATATGGGATAATAAAATAAAACTGAACAAAATAAAAATAGGTCAAGTTTTAATCAAAAAGGTTAAAATAATTTTAGGCACAGCATATTAACTCAACTAAAAATCATATTACACAGTCAACCATTGATTATTAGCTAACCAATAATAAGTCCTATCTAACTTAACATTAATTATAAACATTGTATTTATTATGCATATTTTATACATTATAAAATTTATAACTTTGATATTTTTTATTAATTTCAATATATCTACCAGTGTATTTATACCAATATATTTATGTAATGTTATAAATACGCACAATTATTTTACCTATCGCTAACATTAAATCAATTCGGGAGTATTATTAATAATTATACTTGGTGTTCCCTCGTTTGGCAAAATGTGCATCATCCGATTGCTGGAAACCATTACGTTTTCCCATGTCCTCTTAATCAATAAATAACAACAGGGTATATTTATTAATAATTGTAATATAAATGGTTTATGATCAACATATAAGTAGAATAGTCTTAAAATTGCACAAACAATATATAGTAACCATTATCTAAAAATGGTTAATTTAATACATGTCTTAATACATACGCAGGTCCTCCTCGTCAGGTCCGTTGCGTTTAGACTCTCCCCAATCGGAAGTGCGTTTCATTGTGTCCGATGACTCGGGCAGACCATATACCACATCAAACACCATGATCACAGCAAACGCTACGCTTAATACCAGAACCAATTTCATGATTTATAATAACGTTTTACTGGGTTGTAATAAATAGTAGTAACTTGAATGATGTATAATTTTACTGCAATATTAAACCAACGTTTATATACACTAAATATCATCCGACATAATGAACATGCATTTAATCGCATGTTTAGTATAAAAATTAAATTTTTAATTTAACTTGAGTTTTAGCTTTAACAGTTATTTGGCAGGTTTATTATAAAAACAAATATTATTACATACCCAGTCAACAAAATCTGTCCGCGCGCCATTTGTGATTACGCCTAAACTAGAAGAGCTAGATCAAATCTGTAAAAAGTAAAATGATGATCCATATGTCTAGTTTTTTGTCTTAAAAT